TAAAATCATATATGGTCCGACTGCTAAGACTTTGTATCTGTTTCTTACATTGAAGGGAAACTTGTGTTGAAGTGACATCAATTCTAGCCCTGAAACTGTTCTTTGAATAAAGCGACAAACCTTCGTAGAGGGGGGCTTCTTTGATTGTTCTATGAGAGGGTCCCAATGGGGTGGTGGCATTTATGGCTAACGATAAAAATTTTGGCCATTTTACCGCTAACGGTTAATAACTTCCATTGTTACACATGAAACTTATTATGAAAACTCTGATTGGACGACAGCATACATTCAATTTGCAATGACGAATGAAGTTGACATGATAACTTAATGTCTGCAGCAGAAATTAGGTTATCATATCGATTTCAAAGGCTGCCTTGCTTCTAAGCCCCTCGTCCGTGTGGTGTTCTCACACTTATAACAAACCCAGAGAGAAGTGTTTTATTTTTTCAGATTGTTTAAAAAAATGTATAATAAAACAATTATTTCAGAAGTTAAAGTTTCTTTACGACTAAGGCCTAGTTCAAACGTCGATCTTTACATGTACCGAACCTAATTGCAATTTGGGTCGACTCGAATAATTAAGAGCGGCAGTTGATTTAAACGTCTATACAAATCTGCCGATCCTAATTGATTCAAACGTCGATCTTTACATGTACTTAATAGAAACGTTAGGTTCGGTACATGTAAAGATCGACGTTTGAACTAGGCCTAACGATTAGAGTTTGTCAATATTTACGCCTATTTTTAAGGCTAAACTTTTTGGCCGCTTTACGGCTAACGGTTATCCCTATAGAGATCCTTTTCTAGGTGCAAAAATTGTAAAATTAAAGGAAACTTTTGTATACCTCAGCTCCGCGGTAAATGAAATTCACTCTCGGCTTTAAATCATCCGGATGTTGTATGTCTGTCGAATTGTTTAATTCACAGACCTCATCTCCTGTTACTCTCTTTCCAAAGTTGTACGATACGCATGCGTTCTCCAGATAACACTGAACTCTGCACGAATGCTCCGAATTTAAGGCAATTGTTCTCATAACGTGTTTTTCCAGCGCTGAGCCATCTTTGGCATCCAAAAACTGCAGTATTCGGTAATAATCTGCAATAAAAAAATATGTTTTGAAAATAAGACATCGATAAGATCTCGCTATCAATTATTTAACGGCAGGTTGTTTCGTCTTGTTATAGATTATAACGGATGTTCTTTCAAAAATTTGGAAGAAAAAACGGACTGGAAAACACATCGGCTGAGATACGCGCTGAGGACAGACGACACACTTTAGAAAATTATCAGCTTTTTTAATTTTGAGAAACTGCTTTCATGATGAAAACTGGAATTCGATTTATTGACATTTGAAAGGACCAAAATTACCATGAGAGTGACGTTCATTAACAA